GGACACACGGCCCTGACCCGCAAATACCTCCTACAGGGAGAAGAGAAGCCGTTCTGTGTCGGATGCGACACAGATTTTACCATTAGACACATTTTAACAGAATGTCTAGACTTTGGAGAGATCCGAAGGAAATAAAATAAATGCAAAAAATTGCAGGATATTTTTTCCTTCGTTGTTCTCAGCAGAATTTTAAATTTTATAAAGGCCATTGGCCTTTATGGCGAGTTGTAGAGTGAATTTGATATTATTAAAATTTTTTATTGTTACTTAAAAGAGTTGTTTTATATCACAAATGTATTTACACCGAATTTAAATATTTTAACTTTTTAGCATTTTAAAGTAAATTAGTTAACCAGTCGTGAAGTGAACTTTTGCAAAAGTGAACAACTTGTGTTTCGCGCGCTCATATGACCTTAGCAGTTGCGAGCGCCGTAAAACCTTATTCTATACACATACAAAGCATGAACGTTTCTTTGCTGACATTTGTGTCACGACGCAGTGAAATCGGGTGCTCGTCAATTTTGGGCATATGGAGTTATTGGTATCATATTAAAGGTTGTTCCTTTGTCTTGCTTTCAATGAAAAAATATAAATCTATCTTGAATAGAAGTCTAGATATTTGCGATTGAAGGAAGTGAGGTCCCCTGGTTTCAGTGGTGAAACTAGCGAAAAGTTTGGTAACTCCAATAGCGTAAGTCTTTGAAAACTGAAAAATTTATTTTGAGCCTTTAACTCATTCTCTGCTCTTTACTGATATGTCGGCAGCATGACCGCACCAATTACGCTCATTACCGATACATTGGAAGAGGCTATACTCAAACTTGATTTAGTTCGTAAATGCTTGATCCGTAATTTTAAGCAAGAGAGGTGACCAGAGCAAGTCTGATTCCCTGTAAGGACTTCTCTGTTGACATCCACCCCTTGGCGCTCATATGACCTTATGCAGTTGCGAGTGCTGTAAAACCTTACTAAAACTAAAAAGAAATATTTTTTAAATACAATTAACAGGGTTGCCTAAATCTACCGATTTTTCCTGTAGTTATCGATTTTGGGCCCGTTCTACCGCCATACCGATAAAGGGGTCAAAACTACCGGATTTGCGATGGGTGCTGCAAGTAGAAGAAGAAAAAAACAACCGTTTTGCAGTTTTCAATTCTTCCCTGTTTTTGCGGAAATCCGTACATTTCGACAGATCCGTATTTGCTGCATCATCATATAAACTCCTACGTATAGGGAAATGGAGAGAGAGAGACAATATTAATATTAGCTTATATAAATCGCCGGGACCCGGGAATTCTGTAAATTCCCCCGCAAAAAATGCACAAAGTCCTTGAAACCAAATCCCAAAAGGCCACTGAGCTCATGATTTACTGGTCACGTTTGTGACGTTAGGCTTTCCCCGGTTCGAGAGTACATTTCACACGAATAAGCAGCTATGGTGGCAGGCGCAAGTGTAGGTGTAATACCGAGACTCCCTCGGGAAAATCGAAATCTACTTTCGCTTTCGTTACTGGCTAAAATTTGTTTGATGATAGTTTAACGTTAATTCTACAGTTATGACATGCAGTTTGTTCATTAGAAACACTGTGTCACCACACGATAAAATCAATATTCTCAGCGTGCTGTCTAATGTAATGGGAAAAAAAAGAAAGAAAGAAAAAGAAAACTATTGTCCTCCGATTTCTAGATTGTCTGGCCCGTGATCGTGACCAGTCAGTGAACCTGCACGCTTTCGCAGCATTTGAGTACGGTCTCCGGTATGACATAAGGAAGACGAGACTGGTGGTTGTTAGTGTTATCAAAGTTCATTCAAAGTATGATGGTGGGCTTCAGAATTGAGTTTGGGGGGTGCTTGACGGAAAACAGTCTACGTCAGCAGTAAAACGTCAGGGTACAAAAAACTGATGCTAAAATTAAAACGATAAGTGGAAGTGGTTCTCTTAGGTTTTGACATTCGACAATCTAGCGCGTTAATGAGGGAACATTAGACTAATTAGAGTACTGGGTTGGTGATTGTTTTCAAGATTTGTGTTCCCAGATTGGTTGGATTTGTCAATGATGTGATGACAAATTGAATAGTGGCTATGAAGAAATGCCATTTTTAACCCCCGGGAAAGCTCTAAATTTCAATTTCTTTGTGGGCTTCGCCCCTGACCCCCCAATGTTCCTTGTAGGGGGCCTATGCTTGAGGGAAAAAAAAGAGAAAAACATCTTTTTAAAAAATGTATTTGAACTTACTGGAGGATAAGATCTTGAAACTAATTTTATTATTAGAGTGCGCATTTTGAAGAAAAAAAATCAATACTTAGTTCATCACTTCATCCCGCGCTCTCACAATCCTTTCAGCTCCAGCTCTCAGTACAAAAAAATGCTCTCTTCTAATGTCAATTTTTGCTCTGCCGTGAACCTTACTATAACGGTTTTGTCTTGCATGCTTTTTAAAAACCCAATCATGGTTTTGGCAGTTGATGTTCTGGCCTCAGCACAAGCCCAGATCAGGATTTATTTTGTGTTTTTAGAGCAAAGCTAGTTAAAATTGTCTGTCATACCTAAGCCGCACAGGACTGATCAGTGCCCTATGTCGGAAAAGATGTTTTATAGTATAGATTGTGGAGCGCATAGAGCTTGCTGTTGAGCGGGGATTTGCACTATACAAATGCTATCTATTATTATTTTAATATAGTTTCTATTGGTATGGGCTAGGGGTTTTGAAGTCAGTTTAGCAGAGTGCCGTAAAACAAAACAAAAACCCCCACAACCCCCGTCCCCTACACACCCTCCCCCAGGGCAGTGCTTCTGACTGAAGTGTCTTTAGCCTATTCCCAAAGGGGAGATATTAACATGGTTTTTTGCACTGTGAAATAGTAAACAGGCTGATTTATCAATGTCATGCTCATACTGTGCTGAAACAAAATAGGGGGAACTGCTGCATTTTCTTTCCTCATCCTTACTATCGTCATTTTTCCTCCACTTCTTGTGTATGTTTGTCACTCTATTGTGAACTGCTATTTCCGGGGTGCCTTGATAGTCGAAGCAGACTTTGTGCGGTTGAGGCTAGAGAGGTGAGCAGATTAAGCCTGATTCCCCATTCGGACTTCTCTGTTGACATCCGCCCCTTGGGGCTCATATGATCTTGTACAGTTACGAGCGCAGTAAAACCTTACTAAAACAAAATCATTTTGAAAGTCTGCTTTGCAAAGAGTACGAATCGGATTTACAAGTAAATTTCCACTTGGAAAGTGGTGGCACAGAGTTCCCCACGTCGTATGGATACAATAGTAAAACGTACGGATAGGGTTAAAAAGTAAAGGAAGAACGCCCCCCAAAAAACCATTTCATAACTTTAAGATCTTTTAAATTTGGTGCAAAATGCATTTACTGATGCCTTTTTTTAAAAAGCCATTTCCTTTTTTCGAAAATTAGGTTCTTCTCTATGAATTTTATGTCGGACAAATTCCTTTTGAATGAATTATATGTGTTCCAAATTATAGGGGCGGGCACGAGACGAGACGAGACGAGCCGAGTACTTGTTGCTCGCGAGAAACTGCGAGAAACGCCCTTCCCGTCACTGCCTGGGCACTAAACTGCTGCTCGGTACTGCTCGTTGGCTTGACATAACGAGTAACAGTAACGAGAGTGAGAGGCGAGAAATGACAACGCACATAGTGCCACCCATCACCGTGCCGTCCTGTGTGTGAAATTGAAAGGGAGGGGGGAGGGTGGCGAGACGAGGCGAGTGGGGAGTTGATCAGGGCCTAGGCCTATGTCGTCTCCTTACCTTCCTTCACCGCCTGCGTCTGCGCACCAGGGCAAGCCTAGTTTCTAAGTTTAGATCCCCGCAACGACCGGCCTTCCCGCTAAACGAGTTGCTCGTTCTGTGGGGCGAGAAGAGAAATCTCGGCCACGGCCGGCCTTCTCGCTGAACGAGCGGCTCGAACTGCGGGCCGAGAAGAGAAATTGGTCACGAGACGAGAAGCATTGCTCGAGACACGAGACGGGAAGTGTTTCTCGTTTCCGGGACTGGTCTCGGCTAGAAGTAGGTCAGCTTCTCGGTCTTCTCGCTTGGGAAAGAAAAAGCGCTTCCCGCCCGTCTCTACCAAGTTACAACATTCTAGTTCAAATTTTGTGCAAGATTATCAGAAAACTAAAGTTTTCAAGTTTTTTTTTGTGATCATTCTGTACTTATTAGACCTAATCCACCTGCATGTCTCATTTGGAAATTGAATTTTTATTTGTGCTCATCACAAGTGGTAAACTTTTCTGCCTCTTTCCTCTCCTTCTTTTATTTATCTCTTATCATCTCCATCACTGGTATTGCCCTTTCGAACCTCCCCCCGGGGCGGTGCCACTGACTGAAGTGTCTTTAGGCCATTCCCAAAGGGGGGACATTTCTCGTTGTAATGCACAGTAGAATTGTAAATGGGCTGATTCAACAATGTCATTCTCATAACTGTGCTTGAACTACAATAGGGAACTGCTGCTTTTTCTTTCCAAATCCTTACTATCATCATTTTCCTCTACTTCTTTTGTATGTTTGTCTCACTCTTGTGACCCACCCCCAGGGGCAGTGCCACTGACTGTAGTGTCTGTAGGCCATTCCCAAAGGGGGGACATTTCTCATTCAAGCATAGTAGAATTGTAAATGGGCTGACTCATGTCACGCTCATAACTGTGCCTGATCTACAACAGGGAACTGCTGCTTTTTCTTTCCTGATCCTTACTATTGTCGTTTTCCTCTACTTCTTTTGTATGTTTGTCACTCTCTTGTGACTTGCTATTTCCGAGGTGGAAGCAGACTCGTGCTGTTGAAGCTAGAGAGGTGAGCAAAATCTTATTTTCTGTAAGAACTTCTCTGTTGACATCCACAATTTGACGCTCTTATGACCTTAGGCAGTTGGAAGCGCCAAAAAACCTCTTCTAAAACAAACAAACAATTGCCCTTTCATTCCCCATGGCACCTTCTCTGTATAAGAAATTTATTATGTACGTCCAACGAACAGGTGATGATCCTTCTATGCCTACGTCCATGGTGGCTGATTGGTCAGCTGAAGGAGAAGAGGAGAAACGTGATGCAGGGTACTTAACAGACAGCATACTTACTGGTCGCGGAGGCCGAGGAGGGTACCGGCGTGGTGCCAGAGGAGGTGGCATGAGAGGGAGAGGTGGCGGTCTGCCTCCGAGAGGACCAGGTTGGTGAAGTACAGTTGAGCCTGTTTAAAAAAAAACAACTGTCTAAATCATTACCTGCACATATAATCAAAATCCACTTCCCCCTTGTGCTTTGGAAAAATATTATAATTATACTTTATTTTTCCGATCCAGCGGCAATCTGAGTTCAAGCCCTTAGGTCTGGATTTAAAAAACACTATGATGAACACGGAAAAAAAAAATGTGCACAGAAATCAAATTTTGTACTTCTAGACCAATTTTCCTTAGAGAATCCATTCCTTTGTAAGATAATACATACATCAAGGAAGAAGTCACGGGGATAAACATTTTCATTCAAGTGTTCTTTTTTGCAAAAAAATATGTATCAAAAGTTAATCCCCTGTTGGAGCAATCTGCTGCCGGATTCTTTTTTACTATTGCTTAATTAAGTTCATCTAATGTTTGGGGCTGGTCAGTCCTCTCTGAGATTTGTCTTTACCTCGTGATATGTGTTGCAGTAATGCAAGGCGCAGTCTGTTCTGGGGATGATTCCAATGAATGAGTCTGTCTTGTCTCTACGTTGTGATCCGAGGCTTACCACTCATTCCTTTCATTGTTTTAAACGACCCGACACATGACAACAAATAGCCACCCCCAGTGGGCCGGGGGGATATAAATAGACCCACTGCTTCGTCTGCAGAAGGTGCAACCCCTTCAAAGGCGGAGTGTCGCACACG